GTCTAAGTAAAAAATAAAAATGCAATCTGTTAAAACTATTAACCTGGCAAATATCTAAACCCAATGTTATACACATACATGTCTAAGCTGAACACCTATTCAGTTTCCTGCTTTTTTAAAATGAAATAAATTTGTATCCCCATAACTTCTGTAAAATAAACTACTAGTATTTCTCAGGCCATACCTAAAATTCTCAATGTTTTATCTATTAAGTTGAAGAAATTGTTCGTATTTGTTCATGAAACTTGTTATTGCTGTGTTAACACTTCACCCGCTTAAATCCTCTATGAATAGCAGAAAATGAATGGGAGGGAAAGTGGCATCACCTTTTTTAATTCAGAAATGCACGCAACAGTTATGGTACATGATTTATTTTTCAGTGGAAGAGGAACGTCGTCGACTAGAGGAGGAGGAGAGGAGAAAAGCTGAAGAGGAAATGATGGCTAAGATGGCTGAGGAAGAACGAGCGGAGTATGAGCTTAGGAAAAAACAAGAGGAAGAAGCAAGGAAATTGAAAGAGATGATGGAACGTGCTCAACGAGAACTTGAAGCAAAACTAGCTCAAGAGGAAGCACAGAGATTAGCCAGAGAGTTGGCACGGAAACAGAAAGAGTTGGAAGCGAGGTTGATGTTCAATAGAAGTTTACAGTCCGAAGCTCATGGTTATGATCATACACAGGATATCAATCGAGCCTTCACATGGTCGTATTTTGAATTACTTCAGTATTTAGGTATTGAGATACCTGAAGCACTCAAACATAAGGACTTTTAGGGATGGAAGTCGGACATTTACACCAGTATTGCTTTATTGGAGTTGCATGACCTTTTTGAGATTGTATCTGATTGGCTACCAAACTTCAACACATGACTATAGCAAGCCAATCAATGAGTCTCAAGAGCTAAACATTTCGATTGAGGTTGCAAATGTTTTTAAAACCCAAGAATGGAAAAACTTGTAGTGTCAAAATATTAATTTTCACTCAGGACCAGAGAAAATTCGAAAAAAGCTATTTCAGAATTTAGGAGTGAAGGCAGTAAAATGGTTATAGATGTATATATTTATTGTATGCCAAGGTAAGAAGCAGACATGTGAGACCCTTTACATATCACATTCTGAAAACTAATCTTTATATATTTTATTGTTTTTTTAAAGTTACAATGAATAAGATATGTATTCTAAGTATTACAAATGTGTGTTGTCGAATGATGACATTCATTTCATGTATTCAGTGACAATGGAAATGTGTGTCATATACATTTCAAAATCAACAGACAGATATAGAATTGAAGTTGTGTTCCCAATTTGATGTGATCTGATCAGAAAACCTTCAAATAACCCTGTGATCATTATAAGGGCTTTGGATTTTGTACAGTTCATGAAAAAGCCTTTTCAACAGAAACCTGAAATCGAATTGCAAAGGGCCATATATAATATTGTAAAGTGAACTTAAGTGATTATTACAATGAAAAGTATGTTTGATTTAGTGATTGAACACAGTTATCTGGCCAACCCAAGTGATGATTCTGTGGGATTGCAATTTTAACATTGAAATCATTGAAAGTTATACAGGAAATTTTGTAATGGATGTTGAAATTGCTTAACACAGGTACATGGAAGCCATCCAAGGGCTTGAACTTCAGAGGGGTATTGAAGGCCTTGGTTCCCAACCATTTTACTTTGCTACACAGATATTCCCTGTACTATTCTTATATTTTAAGGCATTTTTTGATCAATTTGGCTTTAAAACTGGGTGCCCTCTCAACTCGAAAGTTGCCCTGTGAGAGTTCCTCTGCAGAATTTAGTATTGAAAACTTCTGATTAATCTGATGATAACTAAATGATGCTTAATAGTGACATATTTTTACAACAAGCATTTACCTTATACATATTTTCAAAACATTCCAACATATACATTTATCATTTTGTTAGACTGTATCGTCCAGAAAAATCATGATTGTGAAGAGCATGCCATGCTAATTATTGAGTACAATTGATTTGTATTTTTGTTCTGTGGTCCTAATTTGTAAATTATCTTTACTTTATGTAAATTCCATATGTGGACATACTTTATATATTGTCTTACATATTATGCTAATTCCACATTTCTCGCTAATTATGCAGTTCAATCCGTGCCTTATTTGGCATTATACTAATTTGATAGATAATTCTGCTTGCCATAGCTGTTTTTATATTATGCAAATTATACCGTCCAAATTTGATATAGTATATTTGTTATTCATACCATCTATTGTCATAATTTATGTTCATTTTATATAATATGCCTTGCCATATTTGGAATCATACAACTGCAATAAATTTATTGCAATTATGGTAAATGTTTTTTTTTTTGTAAGAAATAGCACACCATGATTGTAATAATGTTTTGGACATTCCAATATGAATTGTGGGTAATTCTTGCCATGATCCAATTCTACATTGGGAAAGCTTAGCTGGTTACTAGAGGCATCACTTTCATTATAAGCTATGCATTGACATACAATTATTCTTGCCAATTTAAATCAGCGATACCCTAAAATTTCTTGATTTTCACACTTTCATGGTAATTTGTCTCTTACAAACTAAAGTGACTTCTATTAGGTTTTTTTGTTCACATGAAATCTGCTCATCTGCCGAACAGCGACTATTGATTTAATCTGCATTTGGAATATTAACAGAACAAAATAGTTCTGTTGTCACAGTCACGTCTAGCATGTGCTTAACAGTGTACATATCACAAAAAAGTGGGACCCGCATTGAGCTTGAAGCGATGCAAACACTGTTTCTATGATCTACACCTCCGAGTAATACAATTGTGGCTGTTGTCTTTTTAACACAATTGTAGACATTTAATTATGCGTGAATAATTCAAAAAATGATCAGATTTTATTGACATTTATGTAAGGATGAATTTATTCAACAATGTGTTGTATTTTTTATTTATATTAATTCAAATTTATTATTATTAATTTTATCTATCTGTGAATTGTGTTACTTTATCAAACTTATCGCCACTTTGGGATCAATACAAGTCTACTTACACTATTTGACCTGACAGTCAGACCGAGCAGAAGGCAGCTTTTTGAGAGGTTTTTTCGACGTATTAAATTATGCCCTACATATATGACTTAACTTTTTTCACCACCAGTCCCCTTTTTTTGTCACAAATTCACAAAATAGTCCCGATTATAGTCTGCACTTTTTTTTCAGAAGATTGAGACAAAAATAACCAATTTTTTTTTAGTGAAAACTAAAAATTGACTTAAAATGTTGGCTCCGAAAATACGGTTTACTTATAGAAATATTGAAGAATACAACAATAAACGTGCAGACAAATTTAGGCGAGGAAGTCTGGTGGTGAAAAGGTAACTCAACTGAAAAATGTTCAAATACAAAATGATAGGGGGTAGCATATAAAAAAAGTATTAATCAAACGATCTTGACAATCAGTGACACTCTGGAAGCTTCAAACCAAAGGGTAATTTAAATAGTTGCCTTGGTATTCTGTTTCTGATACATTGTACATATAGTATTTTTTTTTTACTGTTTGCTCATTGTTGTGATTGCACGTAGTGATCAGTGAACTTTCAAGATCAGTCTGTTTAGAATTGCTAATTCAAAGTACCGGTAATAAATTCACTAATCAAGATAATCAAAGTAAAGGCATATACACATATACATATATTGTTTGTCTCCATAAAACCTAAATATAAGCTGGTTGGTGACCACCATACTTTCGGAATCACAAATCAAATCCGCATCTTAAATTAAAGTGATTCTACTTCATACCATTTATACATTGGTTGATAAGTTTTATTTATGACTATGTAAACACATTACCGGTAGTTACACCATAGTGTATGATTTAATGTTCTTTTTTCCAATCCTTGTTGTGAGGGTGTATCATTATTTGACATCTTATCACACGATGCTGTTTTTTTTTACTCTGAATACTTTCTTCCATGATCACCTTTGATTTGATTAAAAATCAAATACCTCACTTCAAAGTCAATTAAAAAAACAAGTTGTAATTAGCTAATATGTGACCTTACTGAAATGACAAACAGTTCCTATACTGTTGTCTTACAATATTACACAGAAGTTTTGGGGTCTATGTTAATTTCCATAACATGACTGATTGCGAAAAGATTGAATTATGAAAATGTATCTCTATCAAATTCAGCTACACACACCGTCCATTCTGAATCTCTTATTCAGGCAAAACCTAGTTTTGTTTTATTTTTAAAACTTATTTTGCTTTGTGTTCAATAAATATACAACTATAATTCTTACAGGGGTTGTGTTGTCGCTTTATCTTTCACTCTCCATTGTTGAATTTGTAACATTCAACATCTCTTGTTGTTATGAGAGTTCAACAGACGACTTGTTCCTTTTTTATGATAGGGTAAATGTTCAATTTGAAACAACGCAAATTCTGAAAAAGTTGACATTCATTTGTATCTAATTACATTGCACAAGATGGTGATTACGCAGCTCTTGAACAAACTGCAAACAAGCTATATCTCGAACGTGCATGGACCGATTCAGACTTGATACTTATGTGATGTATTATCACACTGGTACTTTTTAAATTTTCTGATTTATTTTGGTACATCCATGGTCAAACTGCCCTCACATAACTTTGAAATGATTTCCGAGTTTTCACGAAATAACTACAGAGATGTATCAAATCTTACAGATGTACGTTCATTTTGCTTTTGAATCTGTGCGACTTGAGTACAGTTCGGGGCTAAAAGAAAAGGGGTAAAACTATCAAAAAGAAGTAAAATTTTTGGTTTAAAATGACGTGAGCGAAAATGACATTTTTGCCCATTCTCAGCTTTAGATTGACCATTGAAAATTCTCGTATAGATAATACATGACATTCGTTGATAGACACAGTTTTACAATCAGAATGTATTTGGTAAAAATGTTATGTCAATTCAAACGTCACATAAAAGTTGTGAACAATTATATATTAAATATGTACATAGACACAATTTTACAAATAAAGTGGGATGGTCGTCACCTGCGCACGCGCGGGAATTGAGTCCCAGGCGACGATAACAACACACGCTAAAAACGGAAAGGTTCATGGGTAGACGCTTGTTTGTAAACATTGACACGCTATGACCATCTGACGCACTCGCTATACTATGGTATAGGGTATGTGTTTTGCGAACTTGTTTCAAGGGGTGGGTTATCTATAAAAAAAAAAAAAAACTGTTTCAAGATCTGTACTGATGGCAAGGTTGCCAGAAGTATATTAGTGTGCAAGTATTGAATTTTCAGATTGATATTAATCTTTTTAGCTGAATAAAAAAAAAAAACCCATATATATTGCTCCAATGACCAACTTACGGATGCTCCCCTCAATACAGGCTAGGCCACAGGGGGCAGCAGGACATTACTAGTATACAACATATTTGTACATGCATTTGGTTTATTTGCTTTGTCAATGTTTATTTATCTGATGACCAACTCTAGTTGATTGGGATAAACAACATGTGTAATATTATGCAAATTAAAAACAACAGCTTAAATGTACAGAAAACAGAAAGGTGGAAACTCTCAAGGCAGTGGCATGAGGTGGCCTCAAACTTGTGACAAGAGGATATTTATATAGAAATAATTATATGTACTTATATTGGTTGGTACATTGCACTCGCTATAAATGTGTTCGTTCGGCAATTCCACGTCGTCCGAACCGCACGGTTTCGCTAAAGCCGGCCATTCATAATTGGCCCACCAACTGCAACTGCAACTGCAACTGC